GGGACCACCTGCACTATCTACCCAGAACACTTCAGTCCCCCAAATGTCAATCCGAAGACTAGTCTGGCACGATGTGCTCTGGTCTCCTGTCTGGCTGGCCGACCCTCTCTGGGGTCCAGGGACACGGGCATTTGGGGCGGTAGGTGTGTGGCTGGAACCATGTGGCCACAGCAGCAGAGAAATCCAGGCTGCAGAGGGAGGTGACAGGACGTGTGAGGCTGGTCGAGAAATGGAGGGTCACTTAGGTCCTCCTCCCCCATCCTAGTTTTGTCCTTATCTGAGTGTGAGACCATCGGCACCGTCATGTCCTGTTCTTCTTTCTGCTTAAGTTAGCTTATGTTAGTTCCTGCAACACAAGCACCCAACACAATCCTCCTCATCTCTGGCCGCTGGCGTCCTGCACTCTGATCTCCAGGGCAGGGAACATGTGCAGGCCAGTGACTCTGCTCACTCTGGCTTTCCGGCTCAAGAACGGAGGGGTCTGTGGTGGCAGCTGCTGTCCTGCCAGGACTGGGAAGCATTTGAGGGCTGGCCGTCCTCCTTTCACGGAAGACAGCCCCCCCCACCCCCCGAGGGAGAGGGCGCCTTGAAGCCAGAGCTGCAGGCTCCAGGGCCTATGGAGTGTGAGGACTCTGGCCTAGCCCCCATATCATACCCGATGGGAGCTCTTTGCACATTCCAGAGTGGGTCTATCCCACTGCCCCCTTCCAGGTCCTCGAATAAAGGATTCTGAGCACACACGGGTCCTGTGGAGTCAGGCGCGCACGGCTATGCTCCGGACATCTACCTTCCCCCCACCCCCACCCCCAAGGAGGCCATCATGGCCCAGACCTCCAGCCCCGTTCGGAGACCCACGTGCCCTGGGCCCCTCCTCACCCCGCACCCCCGCCCACCTCACCCCCTGGGGGGTGGCGGGAGGAAACAGACTCGGGAGGCCACAGTGTAGAGTCTGTCGTTTATAGGTCTCTGCCAGTCTCGTCCGTCCGTCTGTCTCTGCATGTGTGTGTATCTCTACCGAAGGGGTGAGGGGGACTCATGTAAAAATCCAAAATACAATCCTGACTGAGCTCCCGCAGTGCTGGTCAGTCCCAGTGAGGCCAGGGTCTAACTAAGAAAACAGGTAGGGCAGGGCCAGCGTCTTGACCCTGTGGGCATGGGTGGGTGGGGGTCTCCTGCTGCCACCAGGAAATACAGAGTGCCTGGCAAAGACGGTCAGGGAGCAACAGCTGGTCTTCATCAGAAAGATGCTGGATTCAGGTCTGGTTTAACCAATCTCCAGCTTTTTTTGGTAAGTTTCCTGATGTTTGTGAGACTCAGTTTTCTCTTCTATTCTTCTTTTTTTTTTTTTAGAGATTTTATTCATCCACCCATGAGAGACACACAGAGAGAGGCAGAGGGAGAAACAAGCTCCCTACTGAGCAGGGAGCCTGACGTGGGACTCGATCCCAGGACCCCGGGATCATGACTGAAGCTGAAGGCAGACGCTTAATGACCGAGCCACCCAGGCGCCCAAAACTCAGTTTTCTTATCTACAAAATGGCCAACTGTCCCCTCCTTGCATGGCTGTGGATGGAGGAGAATTGATACTCTTGTGCAGGCGAGGTCTGAGGAAGCACAGCCGGGCTGCCGTGTGGTGGCGGCAGCCGTCTACGTCAGGGAGGCCCTGCAGCATGCCGTCCAGCCTGCCGCTGGGAGCAGTAACCTGCGGTGCTCCTTCAGCATTTTGGCTCAACGGACAGATCCCTAAAGGCAGGATCCAGAGGGCCTGCTGGGTCCTGGCAGCTGTCTGAGAACGAGCTCAGCAGGCTTGGGGGGTGCCTCACCTGGCTCTCAGTGTCCGGGGAGGAGGAGTGTCCCTGCCTGTCAAGGGAGCTCTGGAAATGGTCCATAGCCAGCTCTGAGTGTACAGGGGCGACCGTGGCCTGATTCACGGACAGTCCCAGTGGGTGTGGGAGGCACAGGCTGTAGGGCAGGAGAGCTGAGGCACATCCCAGGCTGTGCTCATGGTGGCCAAGTTCCCTCTCTGCAGCATCTCTAAAGACCCTTGCTTATCCAGCTGAGATGCCATGCCCAGTGCATCTTTAACTGTATCAGGATTTGAGGGTGAGTAAGCCAACGTAATCCTCTGGGGCAGTGACCTGTGGTCTGTCCCTCAGGCTGGGCAGAGGAAGCTCAACGCTGTCCAGACCTGACCCCACTGGCCGGAGGGTTTCTGGGACTGGACCCCTTCCCTCACCTTACTCAGCCTTGTGAGTCAGCCACCATACCTCTGACTGCCCCTTGTCCCCTAGGTCAAACGTGGTGAGTTTCTCTTGGTACAACTGTGAGAAAACTTCCAACACAAAGGGAAGACACCAAAAGCAAGGACATCAGAGCTCTCCAAGGCCTCTGAGAGCCAGACTCTGGGCCACAAGTCTGCAGAAGACCCTGTGTGGACTTTTGTGGTAGAGGCTACAGGTATAGGACCATCTCCTGACCCCGAGCCAGGCAGTTCCCCAGGCCCCTGCCCAGCCTGGAAAGGGCTTCCTTCCACTACTGAGTTACTGTTTGGTTTCTGTATTCATTGTTAGTGTCAGCCCCTACCACTATGTCCCGCTTGACCTGCATATAGACCAGGAAGGTTCAAATACTCATGCTCCAGCCAGTTCCCCATCTCCCTTTCCCCTGACCCGATTCCCATCCCCCCAACGCCAACAGGATTCAAGGGCAGCCACTATAAGTGAGAGCTGTCACAGGCCTGATCATTCCTGTTCAAAGGCCTTGCCCAGAACATAGAACACAGGCTGCAGGTCCTGGAGAGTAAGCCGGTGACACTTCACTCACATGCCTCACAATCTTTAAGCAGAAAAAGCAAGCAGATTAAGGGGCACCCTAGCAGGTGGGATGGATCACCCTAGCAGGATTAGACTTGGAATATTTCCCAGGGCATCTCTGATGCCCCTCCCCAATCTGGGTTTAAGAGTGTTTCCTGGAAGTTAGGGGAAGGAATAAGAGGAAGAAGGAAGATAAAGGAAAACAGAAATGTGGGGTCACTTCCTTTGGTCAGAAAAATTCGAGGTCTGGAAAGAGGGGATGGCGGTAACACGACAGCTTGTAGGAAAGCATGTTTCTCCTTTTCAGGGCCCTTGCCTGTCATCAGAGAAAACAGGTAGTGCACTGAGGAATGGAGTGCCCACACATGCAAGTCACCGAAACCAATACAAAGTGTCTCCAATAAGAACGCTGCATGATACCTAGTCTCTTTATTCCCAGTCTTCAGGCAGAGCAGCGCTTGAGCAAGCAGACAACCCAAGAGTCAGCTTCAACCTAAACATTTCATCATTCCTAATGGCTTAAGAGCATGAAAGGAAGTGCTTAGCAAAGTCTGAGAAACCCAGCGTTTTGGCCCTCAAGAGGTCAAGCATATTTGGAGGCACCCATAGGCTCTGGACCAGGGTGGCCTTTCTTCAGGGCACCCATTTGCCAGCCCTGGGGTATGGCTCTGGCCTTCGCCAGACACGACATCACAGGATGGGAACAGCAGATTCCGATCTTCAGCTCCAGACACACTCTCTGATTTACCTCTGCAAAACCGGAGCTGTCCGGTCTTGCAGGGTCAAACCTTGTAAACAAGCCTGCTGCCAGGCAACAGAAGACAGGGACCTGAATAAAGACGCCCTGTGAGGAATGAAAAACAAAGCGGCTCTAGGGAAACCCAGCTCCAGTATCTCTGGGCATGGGTTCGAGATCAACTTGAACTTTATGACGTTTTACTTTCTGTTTTCGTTCCTTTCCCCTTTGCACTAGAGCAACGCCCTCCAATTCACGCGCCACGTCCTAATTTTCTACGAATAGCTGCCGACCACACCACCCTGGTAACTCATTTGATAAAATACAGAGGGTCACCTGGGCACAACGATCGCCAGCGAAACCGGGTACTGCTCTACGGGCCGACACACTTCCGCGATCGTCCAACAGTTAGCGAACGGCCGGAGGAGAGGCCCTTCCTCCCCAGCCCGGGGACACTTGGCGTGGCAGGAGCCGACCAGAGCGAGCCCCGCACGCTCTTCCCGCGAACCCTGAGCCTGAGCCCCCGCCTCCCCACATCCCACCCCTCACGGGGACTGGCCCCAGCCCCTCACCGGGCTCCAGCAGATAAGAGCGTCGGTGTCCGGGTCGCTCACGAGGGTCCACAGCTTGGTCAGGAAGGCCGGGACGTTGCTGGGCCCCGCCGCGCCGGGGCCCACGGGCAGATCCATACCGGGCTAGGCGGGGAGAGGCGGAGGTGACGACCGCGAAATGGGGCCTCGGGCCGGGCTAGCGCTGCCGACGCGCCTGCCGCCGGGGTAGGACCACCGCCACCGCCGGCTGCGCACACACGGCCCCGCGGCCTAGCATGGCCGCAGCCATCTTGCGACG